GTTAGTTTAATCTACCTCTGCGATCATCCGTTCGTGCGTTCTCTCGGTCTCTAATAGCTAGATCTAATTAACTAGCTCGTTAATACTCGTGAGTAGCTCGGGTGTGGTCTTATCGCCGTCGAAAAATATACCCTTATCGAATATTATATCTCGTGTTAATATTACTTTTCCTTAGTATAGAATCTATACTCGGAAGATATTCGATAAATCGTAGCTAATAAGATAGCCTATATAAGCCCTTAGCTCTAGCTTTTAAAGTTTGTTTCGTTTAAGCTTTATATCTACGGTTATCGCGTAGGCTCTATAGCCGTATGCCTTAAGATATACTAGCTATAGCTTCTTTCCGTAAAATAGCTCGAAGGGGCTTTTCTATTCGTTCCGTTAAAGCGGCGTATAGTTCTTAAGGTAGACTGCCGCTTTAACTATCTCTCTCTAAAGGTTATGCGGTAGATACGTAGCTATTCGTATTAACCTAGCTTTAGCTATAAGCGCACCCCCTGACCTCTCGGCGCCGCCGTTCTAGGTAGGTGTGATTAGTAATAACGGATAAAAGGATATACCTCTTCTTCGTAGCTAGGTTAAGATCCGATTTATTAGAAGCTCTCTGTCTGATCTAATGATCCTGATATAATAGCCGTAGCGTTAACTTATCTAGTTAATATAGTCTTTGATAACTCGAAGGTGCTTTAATTACTCCCTTGATCTTATGAAATAGGGTGTGATAAGCCCTAACCAGGCGTCTATTATAAACAGGATCCGTTTAAAGCTATTATAGTCTTCCTCTAGGTCGGTCTAGTCGATCTATACCTTATAACACGGGATATCTTTCTCACGGGCCGTTAGCCGCCTCGAGATCTGTTGGTTTATCTTCGCCCGGCTGTAGGTTTCGTATTCAGCTGTTTTAGGTCCATTGAGCCGGACTCCTAGCACTACTTAAAGCTTATGTAGTGTTATTGGGCTCGGATATCCTAGCCTTACGTGCTATAGCAGTCCGTTGCCGATTACCGTAGGTCTCGGGTTTCGTGATATGATTCTCTAGCGTTGAGTGTGGAAGGCTGCTGCGGCCTGTGGTTGATAATAGATGACGTATTGGTTATGCTTCGTAGGCACTGCATAGATCTCTCGATCTTCGAGCTTTCGTGCGGAGACTAGGTTCGTAGCGAATTCGGGACAGTAGGTAGTATTCTTTAACCTAAGCCTCTATGTGCTACCGTCTGTACGAGTAGTCGGGAGATAAATCGTGCCGTAGGCTCGGATAGGCACCTCTGACGTGCCCGCGATAATAACCTCGTCTGCCGAGGCTTTCTTAATATTCTTAAACTAGTTAAGGTTATTAAAGATATATAGCGTGGCTCCTAAGTTAAGGATCGCGGAGTTAACTAGCGGGTATAATAAACCTGCTTCGAAGGCTTAGTTAATCACCCACACGCTATGCACTGTCCCTACGATCCTGCTCGTGCTACTTGTTTATTATCATAGACTTATTAATCTTTTCGTTATTGTGATTTCGTTTACTTTCTTCCGTAGCTTAGGGTCGGCTTCGATCGCTCTTTCGGCCTTACGGGCTAGGTAGTCGCTCCTCGTAATACCTTAGGGCCGTTGATTTTTAAAGATATGCTAGTAAGATAATAAGCTATACCCTATCTTTCCATAGGCTTTATATCTAGTGCTTGCCTTGCCTAATAATCTTCCGGCTGATATATAAGCCCTCTACTTTTTACGCCCTTGTGGTACTTCGGTCTTAATCTCTTTATCGTTAATAGCTCTGTCTGCTGGGAACGCTCTTCCTCGTACCGCTCGCGGCTTGATCTTATAGCGCTGGGTCTGTAGCTATTCCCTTAGCTTTTATGTAACCTTCCTATATATATAGATTATTAGATCGGATACTAGGGATATGGCGTCGCTTGTGGGTAGCTGGATTGCCGTAATTGATCTAGCCGGTAACTGATATCTAGCCTCTTGACTAATAACCTACTATAAAACCTCGTCTAGCCGGATAGCTACGCTTAGAAATACTTATATATAGGTTATTATTATCGGCTCAATCGCTATTATTATATCTCGTAGCCACTAGCCACTATACGTCACTAGTAGCTTATATCGGAATGCCTTCGTGATTATATCTTCCTATCGGTCTAGCTACTAGGGTAGGCTTTTAAGATCTCGTGGTCCTCTAAGGGCTTCGCTATATTTACTTATAGTTTCTCTAGCTATAAACCCCTATATTAGTCTTATTAATTCGTATAATTACTTTATTATCTCGGCCGGACTCTCGATATCTTATATTATTATTCGAAGTCTCTCGCTAATCATCGTGATAATAGCCTCGCGGGCTTTCTTTAGCTTTACTTTCTACTCTTTGAAGTCTCGAAGGTCTTATTCGTAGTTCTTATAGAGGATCTCGTACGCCTTTATCTAGTTAGTGGATAGGTTCGTAATACTTATAATATACGTAGCTACGTCCGAGGCCGTTAGTCTAATCGGCTTACTAAGAACCTCTCTTTCTAGCTCGATCGGTCGGATAAGACGCCAGGTATCGGGATCTAGCTTGTTTCGTAGGATAGTAATCTAGTCGTCCTAATTCTCAGGGCCCGTTAGGATAACTATAGCCCTTCCTGCCTCGGTCGCGCGGTCGGTGGCTATCGTGTGGGTGTTGCGTTAGAAACACCAAGAATATAGTGTGTAGATAGTGATCTAGTAGCTTGAATAGCTTCAGTTGATGCACTTATGACGGCGGAAGCGATACCGGGCTTATAACTGTCACAAGGCCTGATTGTATTATATTGATTGATGTTCTGATCGAGTGTCCCACAAAATCCCTCAAGCTGTAAGCCCCTTACAAAATCCTTCATAGATCCACACCACACCAGCCACACATTATCCACACGCTATCCAACACATACAGCTCCGACTTGAAACAAGTCTAGCAAGTACTCTTGTGGGGCTGTGATTCTGCCTGTCAAGGGTCGTCGCCATGTCGGCATTCTGCGTTGCGGTGTGCTGTGGGCACGAAGAAACCCTCCAGAACCTGAACAGACATCATCCACGTCCGACTGGCCGTATAGCTGTCATCAGGTAAACTGATGCCTGGAGAAGCGTCTTCAATGAGGTCTGATGAGCGGATGCCAGGTGTCGAAACACTACCCAAGAACAGCCTCAACGCTGATGCAACAGACTTATGGGGAACTTCCATTTGCCACATTTCTGTTTTACACGGGCGTGTGTTCATATGGTCCCCCGGTCGCTTGACTTGTATCGGGGTCAGCAGATGTCAAACCCGGGGCGGCAACGCTTCCATGGTGGCCTGTGGTTTCTGGATGGGCGGCTCTAAGAAGATTCTCGGTGAACATCTCGTAACCAGACGAGGTGGATGTCAGGAGGGCTGATACCGAGCGCAAGCTCTGAGTGGAAGCCTACGGTGAACGCCACAAACAAGGAGCGCGCCTTTGTCAGTGGGGTTTGCCCTGTCGGCCTGGTGAACAAGCAGAGAAAAGGCCTTGTTACTGGCACCGTGTCGATTGTCGCCTTTCTGGTTCGAATAAGAAGATGCATCTTGGAGAGTAAACATAGTCAAGAGGAGCTTGTAGTGAGGCTCCCCCAGCAATGTGCAATGTTCGGCCGTCGACGAGTGTCGGTCACTGCAAATCCACGTGGCTCCGATCAGGGGCAACCCGGGATGGAAAGGTGAAGCTGGCCAGGGGGATTGAGCCGATTAAAGTAAACATTGAACTGGAGCGTCATGTGTTTTCAAGCCGCGTAGGCAGTGTTTAGCTGGGATTGATACCATCACAACCCCTACTGAGCACCGCTCGAACATGAATCAATGCATTGTGGGCTACAGACATCACAAGTACGAAGAAAATTCGCCTCATGAGCTTTGCTTTGCTTGCTTTCATTTAGCGAGACCTGCAACGGCTCTTATCGGCTCGCAGAACGCGTGATGCAAGTCAAGCTTGATCGCTTAATCACTGGCGTGACAAGGTCGGGGTCGACGTCATACGGGAGCTTCACTGCCCGATGGGGCAGTCGAGACGCTAGACATGGAGCTGCGAGAATTGGTGAGTCAGTCAGGCAAGATTGTCGCTGCGCGTGACATTGTGCGTGAACATATGATGTGATCTGATTTTCATCAAGATGCCCAGCTCGAACTCTTCGTACATAGCCCCATATACATAGCTTCGAGGTTTGCTGTCTCTCCACGAGGGGCTGGGGAGGGGTTGTCAGTGCCAATTGCGTAGCGTGATACACCTCTGATGTGCCGGGACCGCCCGAGTCCAGGGTAGAGACTCAAATCCACGTTCAATGCGTGGCCCACAGATTCAATTCTGAGTCTAGACTCCATGACAGAGAAATCCGTGCAAATTTTCTCCAGCGGCGCCTGCCGAAGAATCATTTTCGCCGTCACGTCACTGGATGAGAGCCTCAGTCGCAAGAGATAGCCACATCTGGTCTGGAAACTAGACTGGGTTGCCAGGGTTGTGCGAGTGGAGCCCCAGGGACAAGTCACCAGGACTCTGACCGTCTGACGGACAGCTGACGGGGAGGCACACCACTGCACTGCAACGACATACACAACTGTACAATCATCACTGTGGCGCCACCATCCCTAACGTTATGACATCCCCTGACTGGGCTTGGGCTGCCTCCTGTGTCGCAGCTCCAACCTGTCTCTTTGGTGTTTGTTGCGTTGGAGACTGGAGGTACCTAGTCCCATGGATCAATCACCTCGTGATCAGCGTGCACTCGCCATTGCCACGTTACCAGGTACATGAGTTGCCGGACGCGACGATATAAAGAGCGAGCGCTAGCGAGCAAATGGCTGGCGCTTCCTTCCTTTGAATCTCCCTTCCTCGTGTCATGATCATCAATTAGCTCCAGTGTTGCTTCCCCTCACCAGATCAGCATACAAAACAAGTGCTGCCCCCAATTCCCCTCAACATCGACAGGTCGTCATCTCCAACCACGATAAACTATCTGCCGTACCACGATTGCTGCTCGTCATGCAGAACAAAATCCGCGCTGCGACATTCGAGGACTTGCCCTCCGTGGTCAAGGTGATCCTCGCTGCTATTAACAAGGAGCGCCTGTGGACCAACTTTGTGCCCTCCAAGACGGGCCAGGACGAGAGCTACGTCAAGGAGATTGAGGCGCTGCTTAGGGAGCACCTGGACCCCTCCAACAAGGACTGGGTCATCGAGGTCATTGACCTCGCCAAGAACGGGCAGCCCTCGCAGATTGTCTCGGTCGCCGTCTGGGACATGTCCGCCGCTGAGGACGACGACCGCAAGAAGCGCGACGTCAAGACTGAAATCAAGGACGACCGCCTGTCCGCCTACACCACCGTCGTCTCCAAGGCGCGCAACGAGTTCTTCAACCGCTATCCTCAGCATTCGTACCTGCAGCTCCTGGCCACACACCCCGATCACCAAAACCACGGCTACGCCAAAGACCTCGTGCACTCCCACATGGTCAAGGCCAAGCAGAAGGGTGGCGTCCTCACCACCCTCGGCGGCCCCTTTGGCTACATCTTCTTCTCTGGACTGGGCTTCCATGATCTCGGCCCCGTGTCCCTGCCGCCCAGCTCGGCCAGCGATTCCCACATCATCAAGGCCATGTCGCTCACCGTGCCCAAGGAGGAGAGGAGGCAGTCCATTGTCGACTCAGTGCTCAACTACATATCTAGCTAGAGTGCTTGCAGCGGACGGTCACCACCCGCATTTGCTCTTCTTTATCATCATGAGTTTACGACCTTTTGAGCGGCTTGTACATAGCATCGACGGGGTCAGGGTAGTAATACAGTAAATCCCCATTCACAAGCCAGCATTTCGCGTACTCCAGCAAAGCTCGACTGAGCGCGACGCATGACGTAGTGAGGGGTTCTGTAAAAGGCGGGGGATCTCAGCCGCCCAGGCCAAGCGCCAAGAGCACAGCTGGTGTCGGTTCCGATGCAGGAATGGCAGGCATTGACGCATTGTTGCGTACGTTGCGTCGCTCGCCGACGATGGTGGGAGGATAGATAAGGTATGAGCTTCGAATTATGGTTCTGCCTACTCCAGTTCCCCAGATGTGGAGTCACTCCGGTGCTGTAAATCATGAATGCCAGGTCCCCAACGCCAGCCCAGTACATACAGCAGATGCTAGATGGTAAAAGTCACGCTCAACCATAGCTCACCTCCTCCGTGTCCTCGTCGACACAGGCGCCGGCTCGAACGCGTCCTCCTCATCTGAGATCTCATCGTCGCTAATCTCCACAGTCGTTGCTTTCTTCTGCGACGCGGCGGCAGCACGTCTAGCTGTCCTCCTCTGTGTGGCTGGTTGCGACTGAGAGAAATCGAGCTTGGACTGTGTCTTCTTGGCGGCGGCTTTCTTGGCTGCTGCGGGTTCGCGTCGCTTCGGCGGTGGCGCTGACTGCTCTGCCTCATCCTCGGACGCCATTATCACGTCCTCCTCTTCGTCCTCGCTTGTTCCCGCAGCTTTTCGGCGCCCGCTGCGAGCGGGCGCTTTCTTGGCGGGCGCCTTCGCAGCGGTCTTTGGGCCGGCTTTCGCCCCGCGCTTGGTTGCCCGCACCGTCTCCTCCTCATCCCCCTCTGCCTGGCGCTGGGATGCAAGTCCCTTGGACTGCCTGCTAGGCTGTGTTGTCGGCGCCATGCTATCCTCAAATGTCCATGCATCGGGGGCATCCTCCCAGCTCCCGTCAAAGTCGCTGTCCCAGTGCGCTGGCTTTGGCCGCAACGTGCGCTTGCGCTCGGGCATAAAAGATCGACCGTCCTGCTGCTCGATGCGCGCCTTGTAGATCTCCATGGCGCTGTTCAGATCTTCTTCGTCGCTCTCGAGACCCAGCAACTGCTGTACCTGTCCTGTGAGGTGCTCTGACACGAAGAGCTCCATCGCGTGCTTGTCATCCTTTGAGACGAATTGGTTCACCGCGTCCGAGAACGGGCCCTGGGGGAGCACCTTGAGTGACTGTGCCGAGAGGAACTCGGACACAATCGACTCGACTTTGACCATGTCGCCGTCGTCTCTGACCGTTTCCATGGCGTCGGCGGGGTTCACAGCATCTTTCTTGCGCTGCATCGTCTTCTTGCGGTAAAAGTAGACTACGTCGTTCATGTTGGCAACTTTGCCCGAGAACCGGTTCGAGAAGCGCTGCGGGTTCTCGACTTCGTACTGGCCTCCCTCTGCGGCCGTGTACTCAACCTTGAGCCGAATGAGGGGGAGTGGCCGCTCTTCCAGGGCCTCCTCGTCGCTCTGTATCGCCTCCCACTCGGCGTTGGCCTCTTCAATCATCTCCTCCACCACCTCCATCAACCGTTTTGTGACCTCTTGTCGGTTCTCCTTTTTCTTCTCCAGCCCCTTGAACCGCTTATCTGCTGAAAGGATGAGCTCCCGCGTGACAAAGGGACGGACGCTTTTCAGAGGGATCTTCTCCGTTTTAAAATCCCTGCCGGTCACGCTGAGGATGGCGACGTGCTTTTGCACAGCTTCACCCGGTACTAGAGACGTGGCGACCGACGATCCAGGCTGCATGACGTGAAACCCCGTCTCCGGGTTCTGCGACGGGTCGATCAGACATTCGTGCTCATGGCCCCAGACCACTAGGTCCATCCAGTCTGGCAGCACGCTCTCCGGCAGGTATGAAGTCGCCGTGTGGGCGTGGTGGTTTTGGTGAACGGCCAGCAGGTTGAACCAATCGCCCATCTGTAGGTTGGGACGGTACCACTTGACCTTGTGGTCCCGAAAAGTACGAAACATACGCTCGTCCCGGACATTGCTCAGCCCAAAGAGAGCCAGCTTGGTTTCGCCTTTTTGCAGGAGCACAGGCTTGACGTGAATGTTGTCTGCCTCAGCCACGCGTCCAAAGTAGTTCAGCAGACCGCTGGCCTGGAGGAGGTCCAGCGAGCAAAAATTGCCCTCGCCAGACGGGTCGTCGTGGTTGCCGTGGATGGAGAAGACGGGTATGGATACGTTGATATCGGGATCCTCGTAGTTGACTTGGGGAAATGCTCCCTCGAAAACCTCGGCCGCATCGCTCAGGAACTCGAGGGGGCAAGGTTTCTCGCCCAGGCAATTCTTGCGCAGGGTCCGCATGACCTGGTACAGCGACTTGCGCGATGGCTTGTTGTCGTGGAAGAGGTCGCCGCCGAGGAGGACCATGTCGACATCGTGCGTACGTGCGAGGTTCAGGATCTCGTCAAAGGTGCGCCAGGAGTCATCTTTCCGAATAGCGTCGCGTTCTTCGTAGCCGACATGGTTGTCCGTTGCAATGAGGATGCGGATCGTGTCCGCGTCTGTCGGTCAATTTGTGGCCCAGAATCAGTCAACGGGGTATATACCTGTCGAGTCAGTCATGATACAGGGCCCAGGTCGCCCTCAAGCTGGAAGCAACCACCTTGGCGAATTCGTTGCTCGGGGTGCGTGGGAGTGAGTCCCAACTCCCAAACCGACACAGGAGGGGCAATCGCCGACGCGAAAGCTGAGTGTCAGACCGAAAGGGGTCGGACCGCGGTGACTAAGCAAAGAGGGGTCTGGAGATGGCTGTAATGAAGGAATCAGCACACAGCACGATCGAGAAGAGCACGAACGAACACACAGTTGAAGGCCTTAAAATCAGCCTCTTGATCATCAATTCAAATAGCCTTTTCTAGGCCCCAAAAAAAGACCTACTATTTCCTCGATTATGAACACTTGCACACATACACACTAACTCGGGCCGTGCCTCCACCAAAGCGGTCACGTGTCCGACACTGAGCGACATCACGTGATTGCGGGAATGATGAGATCAACAAGCTTTCGAACAATCAATCACCCACTCACATGGCATGGCGACATGCCGGACAAAGAAGATGCGTCTCATGATGTTCGTCTTGCATACAAGCAGGAACCATTCACCCTCAAGCCCTTGATTGCGGACATTCTGCGAACGCGCTTCTGCGTGCCGGGCTCCCGGTTCCTCGTGGAAGACATTACCAAGACGTCCGTGTCGAGCTCGGGCAGATGGAAGGCAGCGCAAATCCTGCTCAGCGATGGAGAGCTGTGCATTCAAGCCCTGATGAGTGGCCACCTCTACCGGTATCTTGACACTGGTGAGGTCTCGGTGGGGTGCTACGTCAAGGTAGAGTCCTTTGATATTCGACGACTTACTTTGCAAGACAAAAGCGAGATGGTTTATTTGGTTGTGGAGGATATCATCACAATTGGGTGGAACGATGGATACCGCGCCCTATACGCAGCGGAGAATGTGGACAGCATGGAAGAGCTTGCCTCGGAACATGACCTCGATGTGGAAGAGCAACAACTCGAGTACAGACCCGACGAGGTCGCGCAGGCCCAGGCTGCTGAATCGTTCGAGCAGGCCAACGAGGAAGACGAGAAGGCGTTTGAAGACGCCTTTGAGGCATTCGAGGCAAAGACATTCCCGCTCAAGACGAAATTGAGGGAGCAGAAGCCGGCGCCCTCATCAGGAGCAGTCGCTCTACCCAAAGATTGGCAGAATCGTCAGCAGCCACTTCGCCTTACGCCACTACGATCTATTCCCCGGCTGCCATACGCGCAAAACTGGTGCTGCAACGTCCTGGCCATCGTCACCTCGCTGTCTCCTGTCGAGGCGTCATACCTGCCTCCGTATCGCCAGCGGACGGCGAGACTAGCTGATCCGTCTACATCCAAGCAGGTCCACCTGACCGTGTTTCTGGAGCCGGATAACTTCGAGCCCAAAACCGGTAGCGCGGTGCTGCTCGTTGGCGTCAAGAATCATCGGTTCGACGGCGGAAGTCTTAAAAAGTATGCTAGTGATGCGGACAAGACGGGAGGTGGTGAGTGGTGGCATGAAGATCCCCTTGATCTGGTGTGGTGCGACGTGGCTGGCATCAAAGAGTGGTGGGCAACAGTGCAGGCTGGGATGGCGGCGTAGATGTGGGAGTCGGGGCTGACAACGCGGCCTTGGCTCAGCTCGCTCCAGGCCTTACAGGTGCTCGCCTCTCTTCGGCAATTTTGGTTACCCCCGATTACATCTATTGGCGGAAATACGGGACACATCTAGTCAGACAACTGCTGAGCTAGAATGATGCTGACGAGTTTCAGATATATAGCACGTCCATGGCTGAAGGAGTATCAGTCAGCCTTATGCTAGATCCAGAACACCGCAGTCTGAGAAACGAAGTAGAGGAACACACGCCATCCTCTCTGCCTGAAGACCACTGGTTTCTCTAATTGATGTTCTCTAAAAGTAAATGCTAACGAATCCAAATCACCACAATCGATTTCAACAAGATGATTGGGTTATTCTATCAAGAAGCAAAAAAGGGTCTGGCCGGGGATTGAACCCGGGACCTCGCGCAAGCTTGGAAACTCAGGGTTTATCAGCTCATCAGAACTCCCTAAGCGCGAATCATACCACTAGACCACCAGACCAACTGTTGTGATTGGACAGAAACTCTACTATTTTTACTATATTTGAACAACCTTAGCACCATAAGGGTTAAGCGAGAAGACTGCGGGTATCAAGGCTTTCGCTCGGCTCTGTGGGCCGTTTCTGCTTAAGCCCCGGTCAACTCCCTCTTCCTTTTGATGAACGAGGCCAGCATTATACCATGCGATGCGCTGACCACTTCCCGGGTCTTGACACCGCGTTCTATTAGATATATATTGTATACTAAGGTTATTATAGGTATTGGGGGTGGCTGAAGCTACTAGCCCTGTGGCTAGGAGTGGCTTAGGAAGCCTCGATTAGGTCACGTGCACAGGGGCGCACTAAGGGAAGAACCTTCGTAGCCGAGGAATGCTTCTAAAAAGATCAAGAGATTAATATAGTCACCAAGAACCCCGTACTCGCAGCGATCTAGCTGCGCCCTCTCGACATTGTGCACCTTCTCACGCTCTTTATTAAACCCAGTTCTAACATATTCCGAGGCACGTTCAGAAGGTTATTGATGCACTAAAGGCAGATCAAACAGGTGGAAAAGGATGATCAATTCAAACGTCCTTGGGCAGCCAGTCGGCCAGCCTAAATAGGCATGGCGCGGCTGCTCCTCGGATCGTATGCGCGCAGCCTGATTAGCTGCGGCGTTATCAATGCTATCTTATCGCTATCGTACCTGTGCGTGTACGTGACCAGCACGTGACACCCACACATAGCGTAGATATATCTTGGTTAAATAGCCACATAACCTCCAAAGTATATTATAGTGCCGGCCATATAGAAAATCGTCACTACCCTTAGTGACTCCCGGTAACGCCTATCCAAGCCAAGGAAATACTCGTCCGGCGCTATTATCACTCGTGCGAATCGTTCGTTCGTTACTATCGTTAATACCTTATTATTTTATTATTCTATCTATAATCGTGTCTCTGTATATTATATCGATCGTTCCTCCCTGTATTATCGCGGCGGCAATAGGTCTAATCTATTATACGGCCGCGGTCTGCGTTTAGCGCCTTAACCTATTACCCTTCCGGGGGGTTAAGGACTTCTTCTCACGGGCTAATTGCTCCTCGAAGGTGTGTATCGCGGCGTCGCTGATACCTATGGACTCTACCTATTGGTCGTATTAGGGGCTCTAACCCTTCTAGCGAACCTTATACTTAACTATTCCGTCCTTTAATTAGCGCTTGTCTAGTAGCCTCTCGATCTCGTAGTATATATCTCCTTTATCGTCTTTAACGTTATGTGAGGCTTCTATAGGCCCAGGCTCGGGGTCGACGTGTGCGCCGGCGTGGGCAGGCTTGAGGTGCTGGACCGATATTACGGGGTATATCTTTATACTACTAGGCAGGCTTAATTCGGCGGTAAGGTCGTTAATTATCCGCTTGATTATGAAGGGGCTAAGCTTTTTCTAAGACTATTTAGGGCTCGGCCGGCTAGCGAGGTGGTATCCGTGATAAAGATTAAGGTACACGCGGTCTCCGGCCTATAGCTATATCGGTCGGTGTTTGGCGTTATATTATCGTTTAGCCTTTATCGCTATAAGATCTATTGCTAATTAAGCCGTCGTTCTCACGGCCTCTCTTATATACGGCAGCGTCTCGGCGTTAGGGTTATTAGCGGCTTAGAACGCTCTATTAAGTCTGAAGCCGTAGATATACTCGTGCGCGCTGTATTAGCTGCCGATATTAAAGGTGCTATTAATATTCTATTATATCGCTAGAAGTAGTAGCTTCTAGTCACGATCTGGCTCTTCGACGTAGGCCAGCCGTATCGCTATTTCAACCACCTGATCACGGCGTTCGGCTAATCCGTTAGCCTATAGGTGGTGCGCTATTATTATCGCTAGCTTCGTGCCGAATACCTTCTATAGTCCCCTCTAGAAGGGTTTAGTAAACTTACGGTCTCGGTCGCTAATAATAATTAATAGAAGACCCTAGTCCGCTATTATTAAGGCTCGGGCTAATACTTACGCCTAATATTCTAACGTATATATCTCGTGGCCAGGGATTAGCAGGCTTTGTTTGCTCGCGGTATAAGTGATCGTGAGGATTTAATCGAAGGTATCGAAGCTAGTTAGGGCCCACGGCGAGTCTACGGCTAACGTTAGGGGTAGGCGGGTGATAAAGTTAATCGCGATACGTTATATCGGTAGAGGGCCAGGCCGTATAAGTATATATGCTCCTATGCGCTATTGGCGGTCGGTCTGGCCTAGGCAGTAAGATCTATATTTTACGATATGTGCCGTGACCTTGGCGGTTATGTTCTTAATAGCGAAGCCTCGTAGTTCCTTTAGTATGCGGTCGATGCCAAAGTGGCTACGTTCGTCGTGTGCCGTTATAATTATATCTTTAATTATCGATTACGGCACGTATAGATATATAGATCTATCTATTACTTCGTTATATAGTAGTCTATTCGCGGCTTAGAAGAAAGGCACGCCGCGGCGGTGGTTAATTTAGTAACGCGTTATTCTATCTAGGCCGGTCGAAGTTTTAGTAGCGTCCTCGCTATCCTAGATTATTATAATAATCTTAGACTAATATCGGTCCTTAGCGTAGCCTTCGAGAAATTAGCTAACCGTTTCGTCACTTATAACGGCTTCTATAACCACGTATATATCCTCTAGCGCCACGTATTAAGGGTGCCTGCGTTATATTAACGGGTCTGATTCGGCTGTTTCGAGACAGCTAAGTACGTCGGGTACGAAGTTCTTCTTACCGGGAACGTGATAGACTTCGAGGTCGTATTAGGAGAGGTAAATCGAGGCTATAATTAATCTACGGTTAGCTCTATCTATACTAGCCGTATCTATTATAGACTTAGCCAGGATCTGCTTAATCGCTAAGTGATCTATTAGAACGCGTATCGGCTGCTTAGACGACTGTATAATTATATAGGTGCGCTAGATCGCCCACACGAGGCCTGCTAATTCAAGTTCTATCGGTCCGTAGGTGCGTTCGGCGTTAGTTAGCGTGCGGCTAGCGAAGAGGATTAGTTTAACCGCGGTGGCGGGCATTATAGATCCGGGCTACTAGTCGTAGTTATCTTTAGTGTAGAACAGAACTGCCGCGAAGCCACGTTCGAGGCTTATATTAACCTAGTAGTATAGGTGTTTGTTAGGGTTATCGTGCGTTAATATACGGCCAGAGGCTATTTCAGACTATACGGCCTCGAAGGCTATGATCTCTTCTAGTATAGGCTCGAATATCGTAACGCGGTAATAGGCCTTACGCTTATTCTTATTATTATCGGCCACTTTACTTACCTCGCGGCTAGCTTTAAGTAATTAGACCTTACGTCGTTATAGAGGATTAATTAGCTTGGCAAAATAT